TTGGCACACATTTGTGACTTATTTGTTCAGCACCTTTAACCCCCTGGAAGCAGAAACGAATTCGTTACACCTAAAAGAAAAGTAAAAAGCGACATGTTAGAATATTGTCAACCGAAATTTTCACACATTTACAGTTAATATCACCAAGTAAGATTGCTGGTAGATTGTTATCGAGGGTAATCCGTGTGTGCTTCAATCTGAGCGTCCGAGTTTCGTTATTAATGGCTAGACTTCAATGAAACTTCTTTATCAAGAGGAGATGAGAATATCGTTGAGGTAACCGGGTTCGACCATTAAACCCAGAGTTATAACCCCTGACTAGATAAACAATATACAATGACTAGTTAAACAATATACAAATTAACAAGTAATTTCCGTTGCCTGGCTATTTCTTGAAAAAAATATTGGCTAGATTTTAAGTGAAATATGGCGTTGTACTGTGAATTAACAACCGTGAAAATAACAAGACGTAAGAATCATCAATAACAGCATAACAGCAACAGAAAATGTGTTCAATTCAGTGAAAGATCGTTCGTTATTTCACTTGTGATAATAAAAATCAATATTTTTACTCGTAGCAGTAGTATTTTTCATATTTGGACACAATAACCCCTTTAACAAAACATTCAATTGCGCATATTAAAGGTCAGGTTCTAAAAAAATATACTCGTAATTTCTGTTTACGTGATGGCTTTCTTTCAAACTTGTACACAATAATCTTTTCGACAAGACGTCCAATTCTTCCGACCTATGTGTGAACTTGACCTATTATTTCTGGACGTATTTCTTTAATATTTGTACAGAATAACCTTTTTATATCCCCAAAAGAAGGGCATATAAAATTGAATTCCCCAAATTGTTCTCTATCCGTTTTTCCCTGGCAAAACATCATCTCATAAAAAGATTGAATTTGTATGAAAACATCTGTAATATAATGCGGAAGCATACCGTTAAATTCGGACTACTGCTTAAAAAAATTTCAATTGTTGATTTTCTATTGATGTATGGGTGACGTAAAGGCGATTTTATCATGCAAATAGAAATTGCAAAGTTGTACCAAAAATAAGAACTAGAGTCAATACGAAACACAATTGACGAAATAAAGCTATTTCCTTTTTTATGAAATTTATTTAATGCAGCAAAACTCAAACTTAGCCGGAGTGTTTCTGAGACATATTTATAAGCCAAATATACACAAAATCAATTTAATCCTTCAAATGATATCCGGGCCTGCGAAAACCACTTATTTTACAGAAAGTTTGATTAAAAATGGGACATTACTATTTCAATTATTGATTGCAGCGAAAATCTAACTTGATTATACTAATGTTTCAAATTAAAAACATTATCTAGATGAAAAATTGTCGTTTCATAAATTTGACATAGATTTTATCACTCCTTTAGAAGTCAAAAATATCATATCAAGAATAGAAATAAGAGTATATACAGTGGTATACTTCCAGATAAATTAACAGATGCTTACGTTATTCCAGTTTATAAAAAGGGAAATAAGCAAGATCAGGGTAATTATAGACCGACCAATCTCCATTTTACCTACCATTTCAAAAATAAAGGACATATATAGCTCACCAAATGCAATCGTTTTTTGAGAAAACAAATATTTTACATCAAAATCAATCAGGATTTCGTCTGAATCATTCATGCCACACTCTTTTAACACTACTAATTGATACATGGTTAAAAGAAGTCGACATTGATCCGTATTTATTGATCGACGAAAAGCATTTGATCTTGTCGATACATAAACTAAACTTTAAGCACAAACTTTATCATTTTAACGATAGATCTTTGAAATTGTTTTCATCTTATCTATCGAATAGAACACAACTGGTAAAAACTAGCAATTTGCTTTCAAAGAATTTGATTATAAAATCTGGAGTTCCACAAGGCTCAATACTAGGACCCTTGCTATTTCTTATATAATAAATTATGTTTATGACATGACATTAATTTCAGATTCTAACAAGAGCCATGTCAACATGGCCATCCCCCGCCGAATGTGTTTGCTCATTGGAAGAATGTATATGTAGTAGAGCAGAATAATTCCATTTTAAGAGGTCTTTTGGTTATGAAAACTGATGGCTATAGTGATTACAGATTTGAAACCTATGTGAATACTGATGGCTGAAAATAACAAAGGGCAATAACTGAAAAATAATTGCAGGGTAGGTATCATTCTTTGTGTGCTGCATCCTCCTCAAGTAAAATCTATCCACCTATGAAGTTTCAAGTTTGATACCTCAAATACTTTTGAGAAAAAAAATTGAATTGAAAAATTAAGTATGAAAAAATAACAAAGGGCAATAACTCAAAATTATAAAAGGTAGAGTTATCATTCTTATGACACCTGCACACCTCCTGAGTGAAGATCTATGCACCTATGAAGTTTCATAATGATATCTCAAAGGCCTTTTGAGTTATGCTCTGGACAAAAATTAATTTTTGAAAAAATAAAAAGGGCAATAACTGAACAATTATGCAGGGTAGAGTTATCGTTCTTGTGCACTGCACTCTTCCTCAATGAGATTCATCCACCTATGAAGTTTCAAGTTGATACCTCAAATACTTTTTGAGATAAGCTCCGGACAAAATAGTATGAAAAAGAACAAAGGGCAATAACTCAAAATTGTACAGGGAAGAGATATCATTCTTGTGCACAGCATTCCTCCTCAAACACTTTTGAGTTATGCTCCACTCTGGTGAAAAATTAAGTATGAAAAATAACAAAGCGCAATAACTCAAAAATTATGAAAGGTAGAGTTATCATTCTTGTGCACTGCACACCTCCTGAGTGAGATCTATGCACCTATGAAGTTTCATTTTGATATCTCAAAAACTTTTTGAGTTATGCTCTGGACTAAATGAAATTTTTGAAAAATAACAAAGGCAATAACTCAAAAATAATGCAGGGTAGAGTTATCATTTTTGTACAATGCACTCCTCCTCAATGAGATCCATCACCTATGAAGTTTCAAGTTGATACCTCAAATACTGTTTGAGATAAGCTCTGGACAAAATAGCATGAAAAAAAGAACAAAGGCAATAACTCAAAAATTGTATAGAGAAGAGTTATCATCTTGCGCACAACATTCCTCCTCAATAAGATCTATCCAACTATGACATTTCATGTTGATATCTCAAAACTTTTGAGTTTTGCTCCACTCAGGTGAAAAATTAAGTATGAAAAATACAAAGGGCAATAACTCAAAAATTATGAAAGGTAGAGTTATCATTCTTGTGCACTGCTCACCTCCTGAGTGAGATATATGCACCTATGAAGTTTCATGTTGATATCTCATAGGCTTTTGGAGTTATGCTCTGGACAAAAATCAATTTTGAAAAATAACAAAGGGCAATAACTAAAAAATATGCAGGATAGAGTTATCATTCTTGTGCACTGCACTCCTCCTCAATGAGGTCTATCCACCTATGAAGTTTCAAGTTGGTAACTGAAATTCTTTTAGAGATATGCTCCGGACAAAAATTTCGGACGGACGTTCTAACAGGAGAGTAATAATGTGGCTACTCTATTGTTCTCTCTATTGTTCTTTTTAGCCACACAAAAGAAAATAGCCACATAAAAGCATTACAGAATGAATGACATCAAAGAGAAAGAACAGTTACCTATTGTCCCTCTAGCCACATAATTACTGTCCTGTGAGTGCGGAAGGACGGACGGACGGACGCACAGGACAGTAATTATGTGGCTACTCTATTGTTCTCTCTATTGTTCTTTTTAGCCACACAAACGAAAATAGCCACATAAAAGCATTACGGAATGAATGACATCAAAGAGAAAGAACAGTTACCTATTGTCCCTCTAGCCACATAATTACTCTCCTGTGAGTGCGGACGGACGGAAGGACGGAAGGTTGGACGGACGGAAACTATTTCTATATCCCCCGCCGCCTTTTCGGCGGGGGATAATAACATTGACATGTACGCCGATGACTCCACTTTATACAAATCCGATACTGATATTCTAGTTATTGAGAAAGAACTCTAAAAAAAGTTTTAACTTGGTCAACAAATGGTGTATAAATAATAAAATGTCTAATTGCCATTAGGTTCAAAATTCAAAACTAAGCAGGCTGGAAACCTCGAACTTGCTATAAATGACACTATTTTAGAAAACGTATCAAGTCAAAATATTCTCGGGATATGTGTTGATAGTAATAATGTTATAAAATACACTAAGTTCAAAAATTGCACTTTTAAAACGAGTTTCACATTTTTTGACAGATGATATGAAAATGTTATACTATAATGCATATATTGTATCAACAATGGACTTCTGCAATAGATATGGGGACAAAACTGCAAATCGGATTCCGAAAAAATATACAACATACAAAAGAGGGCACTTCGAGTAATTCTGAAACAGCTTGTATTCAAAACCCAAAATCTGCCTACTTTTGAAAACAGATCCAATTACCACATGGCCTTATTGGTTTTTTAAAAGTGAACATAATCTGGCACCAAAATAATATCTGAACTACTAGTTTTTTCTAATAATGATAGATATAATCTTCGCTCTTCAGCGAATAATGATCTTATTCACTTCAGGCCACGGACGAATAATATGAAACAAACATTTACATACAAAGCGGCACATTTATGGAATACATTTCCAACTGATATAAAACTACAGAGTATGAATAACCTTGATGAGCTTGGTTTCCCTGTTGAACGTTTTTCTTGTGACAGCAAATGTAATAATTATGGCCAGAGACTTATTCAGTTGTGTAAATCTGCAAATATCTTTATTGGTAATGGCAGATGTGGTAATGATGCATATATTGGTAGAAACACATGTAATAAAGGTAATGGTAGCTTGATTGATTATTTGCTTATGTCAGGAATATTGTTCCCTTGTATAACATATTTTAATGTTTTGCAATTTGATCCAATTTTATCTGATGTGCATTGTGCATTGGAATTTTGTTTTAACTTGAACATTATACCAGAATTATAAAAACATGTATAGCAGGAACCCTACTGCAGAAAATAAAGATAGTTTAGTTTGTAGTAGCCGACAGTATAAAAAAGAAATTAAGAAAAAGTTTAGAGCATATCAGAAAAGCATTGTTTATAAGATTAAAGGTTTAAAAAATAAAGATCCTAGATCTTATTGGAGTCTATTGAACAAATATTCAGGTGATCGGAAGGAAGTTATTAACAAAGTAACAACTGAGGCTTTTTTTGATCATTTTAGTAAATTGAATGAGGTTGATACTCAAGGTGACATTGATGACTTTGATATAGCTAATGTCTCGTCAAATAACTCTGATTTAGATAAACCATTTACTGTATTAGAAATACGTAAAGCTATTATTTCACTGAAAAACAATAAAGCATCATCTTCCTTTGATCATGTATTGAATGAATATCTGAAGAATGTACCCGACAGCATGTTTGATGTGTTTTGCTATTTGTTTAATATTATTTTAGAGTCTGGAATTTTTCCTGAAGTTTGGAGTAAAGGGATTATTTTACCAATACACAAAAAGAAGGGTAACATAGACGATCCTGATAATTATAGGGAAATTACTATACTTAGTTGTTTTGGGAAACTTTTCACAAATGTTCTTAACTCTAGACTCAATAATTTTTTAGAAAGTAATAATATTCTCTATGAAGAAAAAGCTGGATTTAGGAAAAAGTATAGCACTACTGATCATATATTTTCTCTAAATACTTTGATTGATTTATATCTGTCTAAAGGTAAAAAGTTATATTGTTCTTTTATTGATTATAGAAAGGCTTTTGATAGCATAAATAGAACTGCACTTTGGCAGAAATTAATTAGCAATAATGTTGATGGTAAATGTAAAAAGATCATTTATAACATGTATTTACAAGCTAAATCTTGTGTTAAAATTAATTCTTTTAGTCATATGTCAGAATTTTTTACAAGTCATACAGGCGTTCGTCAGGGTGAAAATTTATCTCCATATTGTTTTTCTTTATTTTTAAACGATTTAAACTTTTTCCAGTCACAACATTTTAATGGTCTGGATCTACTATCAAACATTGTAAATGATACCCTGAGTGATTCTGATGTTGAGATGTATTTTAAATTGTATATTCTTTTATATGCTGATGACACAGTTATATTTGCTGAATCTGCTGAAGAACTGCAAAAAGCACTAGATGCAATGTCAAATTATTGTCAATTATGGCATTTACAAGTTAATCCTAGTAAAACTAAAATTGTTGTTTTTTGTAAAAGTAAAAGAGGTTTATGTAATATTCCAGCCTTTAGTTTTGAAGGTAATTTGCTAGAAATTGTTGATGATTTTTCATATCTTGGTGTTAAGTTCTCTTATAATGGTAAATTTGCTAAAACAAAGAATCATTTATTAGAACAGGCAAGGAAGGCTATGTTTTCAATTATAGTTAAGGCTAGAAAATTGGATTTGCCTATCAGTATGCAAATTCATTTATTTGATAGCATGGTAGCACCTATATTGTTATATGGTAGCGAAATATGGGGAATTGAAGATGTGAATATCATAGATAGATTTCAATTAAAATTTTATAAACTCATATTAAATTTGAAACAAAGTACTCCAAATTGTATGCTTTATGGAGATTTAGGGATATTACCTTTATCTATTCATATAAAAAGTAGAGTTTTGTGCTTTTGGAATAAAATTTTAAATAGCAAACAAGAATCAATAAGCCATATATTGTATGATATGTCACACTCTTTGTATTGTAGAAATGTGTTGAAACTCCCATGGATGAATAGTGTTTGTAAATTACTAGATTCACTGGGTTTATCAAATTTTTGGATTAATAATGTTGCCACTTCTCTTCCATTGTTTAAGAAAATTGTTAAAAATAGACTGAAAGATCAGCTCATTCAAAATAGGCATAGTGAAATGTCACAATCAAGTAAATGTCTGAATTATAGAATGTACAAAAGTGAATTCAGATTTGAAAAGTTTTAGATATTTTACCATCTCATTTAGCTTTGGTACTATTGCGCTTTAGATGTATGAACCATAAAATGCCTATTGAGTCTGGTAGATTTTGTAATATACCAAGAGAATTAAGAGTGTGTAATTTATGCAATAATAGCTCACTTGGTGATGAATATCATTATTTATTTAATTGTCAATTCTTTAATACTGATAGAAAAAATATATTACTAGAGAGTATAGTACAAATGTTAATTCAATCAAGTTTTCTATGTTAATGAATAGCACAGATAGGAGTATATTGTTAAAACTTGCAGTTTTCTGTAAAAAAATTATTTCAGCATTTAAGTAACTGATAACTAGGCTTATTTTCATAATGTAATACTTTCATTTTTGATTTATATTTGCCATGTAATACATCAGTATATTTCGTGGATATCTCTTTATGATATGTCATACTATATGTATATATTATTGTATATGTGACTGATGCCTCTAAGAGGCCCAGCATTTTCAATAAACTGTTCAAACTGTTCAAACTATTAAATTGTCATCTTTTAAGGACAAACTAAAGGATTATTAATAAAAATACAGCTTAAAGCGCTAAAAACTTTAAACTGTTTTTTTCCAGAAATTTCTTGCTTTGTTTGTTTGTTAACATTGATTAATGATTGTATGTACATACGAAGTTAAGATACTTATTTCCATAAGTTATTATTATTTATAATCCACAAAAATGCAAGAGTGTTTGTCGTAATTATATTGCTGTTTATTGCTATTTCTGTTTTCTGTTTATGTATATGATTTATATGTACAAAGGAAGTTGTATGTTTATTATGTACTCTTAATACGTCACCTCCTCAAAATAAAGTTATTATTATTATTATTACTATTATTATTATTATTATATGCAAAATATAAACACAATCATTGAAGCCTTAAAATGTTATCATGCTAAAAATTATTGCAGACGCACGCTCTGGCAGGCGGATTTTATTACCATGCATTTTATTACCCCGCTATACTCATTATATGTTAGGACACCGAATAAAAATTAGACGCCGAAGGAAAACATTTTTTAATCACAAGGCCTTAAATATAAAGAGCATAAATTTCTCAGTTTAATCTATCTGTACTGGAACATTGAACTGGAGGAAAAATGCCTATAAGTAACAATTAATTTTATTGTCAAAGTGAAGCATTGATTTTAACGATTATAAGGATAACACGACTAATTATGCTAAACACTTTTGAAAGCTTACTTCAAATATCCTTTGATGTATACAGAGTTATGGACCAGACAAGGTTTTCAAATCGGCTGAACTTTAAGTGTCACCTTGACCTTGGTACTAAAGTAAGGGGTATTGTGCATGGCACACGATCTCGTCATGATAAATTCAAATGGTTTCAAATCCGTTGATACATAATAGAATTATGGGTTGGACAAAATTTTCATCTTCTGATTTTTGACCTATAGTGTAACCTTGACCCGGGAGTTAGGTGTATAAAACTTGGAGATGAGTTATCCCCAGGAAGCATTAATCACAACAAATAACATGAAAATTGCAGACTGGTTTGAGTCTGTACATGCATCTTGAGCATAACACAACGTCTCATCATGGTTATATATTTGCTTAATTGTCTTAAAAGCCCCTGATGCATGACAAAGAAATGGGCTGGACAAGATTTTCTAACTACTGACCTTTGACCCCAAAGTGTGACCTTGACGTGGGGGGGGGGGTTGGGGTCTAGGTATTGTGCATGATACACCGACTCATAGTGTAAGTGCCAAATTGTCTTTATATCCCTGATGTATGATAAAGTAATTGGCTAAGATTTTCAAATTTTTGACCTTTCAGTTTTGTTATATTTTTCTGGCCTTTCAGGATCATGGATTCCAACACTTTTAAGTGTTGAGATTTGAGAACCGCTCAGGCCGGTGTTAGGGAACGTGAGGGATGTTGCACTTTTTCATTATCCCTCATGTACAGATTCAGACATGTGTGATCTTGCGCATCTAGGTTTTGCGCATGACACACTGTCTTAAATTATCTCGATACTTGATAGAGTTATGGGTCGGACAAGGATTTCGAGCAATTGTAAAATTTTGCTCAAAATGCTAATGCTAATTTTGGACCAAAGTGGTCTTAATTCCGGGGTGGTCTTAATTGTGAATATTTTTATCATTTCTTATGCACTTTATGACCATGGTCTTTTTAGTTTTGTGTGAACAAACAATATGTATCTTAACCTGCAAATGCAAAATAAAAGTATGTTATAATGTTACATCTGATGGGGAAAAACATATTTACGAAGAAATTCAATATCAATTCTATTTGGTCTGATTTCAATATTGATTATTATATGATAATATAATTCACCCATCAAATAAACATTAATTTTTCGCAAATCAATATTCTAAAGGTAACATTAAACCACTCTAAAATCTACTTTCTCACCTTATTTTATACAATAATCCAAAACTGTAAGGTGTTTTTGACACCTTGTGAAATCATGCCTAAGAGCATCCAAGCAGATAATAACAACATAACAACAAATTTAAGATGTAACTAGGTGTTGACTTAAAATCAGTGGTCTCAATAGTGGGGTCAAATAAAGAATAAATAAAAGCATTATGACTGAACCTGGTGGTCTTAAAAGTGGATAAATGAGATTGTCTTAATTCTGGATCATGTAACTGTTGACATCAAGAACAGAATATTCCGTTCTTATTAAAATTGTCTTATAGCGGGGTGGTCTTATTTCCTGGGTGGTCTTTAGTAGGTATTCTATTCTATTTAAATAAGCGATCATTCATTTTATGAGAAAATCGTCTGAAATTGTAGGCTACGAGTGGGGAAAACAGACTTGATAATGATGTTGATCGAAGAAATTTCATTGATACTTGTTTTTAAGTATAAAATAAAAAGAATATTTGTTATTTTATTTCATCTTGTGAACTTCAAATACTATTTTTAAATGTCACTCGATGAAATAAAATTTCATCTTACACAAAATCAAACAATTATCCTCTTCATATATATACACAATCAAACCGAGCCTATCTCAAGAACAAACACTAAAGTGGTCTTTTTTGTTCTAGAACTATATATATATATATATATATATATATATATATATATATATATATATATATATATATATATATATATATATATATATATATATATATATATATATATATATATATATATATATATATATATATATATATATATATGTTTAGGTTTACATACAGCACTCCTAGCTTACAGAGATGTAGCTAGAAAGTCTGAGATTTGAAATCGTTAATCGATATTCAATTTCGATTGAGTTTAGAACTTCGACTGCAAGACAGCTAGGACCAGTCTCAGATCTGGCACGATATTTATCTTTTTAGCAACGATTTATTTCTTCATAAAATATGTCTTTTGAATTAATTCAATTTTCGTTCTAAGAATTTTCTCTGACTTTTGTGCTTTGATGGTATTCATCTTTTAATTAAAACTTTCGAACTCAATTTGCGACCAACGCGATATATACTTTTTAGCTCACCTGACCACGAAGTAGTCAAGGTGAGGTATAGTGATGGGGCTATGTCCGGCGTCCGTCGTCGTGCGTCGTCAATACTTGAATTGGATTGTTAACAGTCTAGCAGTCACAGTTTTGATTGGATAATTGTCAGACTTTGTCTCAATGAAATGCAGATCGAGTTCGAAGATGGGTTATCTCGAGTCAAAAAACTAGGTCACATGAGCTAAAAATAGAAAAAGCTTGTTAACACCCTAGTGGCTGCAGTTTTGATCCAAATATTCTGGAAATTTGTTTTGGTGATCTCTAGGTCAAGTTTGAAGATGGGTAATCTCCGGTCAAAAACAAAGTCACAGAAGCTAAAAATAGAAAAATCTTTTTAACACTCTAGTGGTTGCAGTTTTGATTTAAATATCCTGGAAATTTGTCAGGAAGTTTGTTTTGATGATTTCTAGGTCAAGTTTGAATATGGGTCGTCTCCAGTCAAAAATTAGGTCACATTGCCCAAATATGGAAAACCTTTTTAACACACTAGACGTCACATTTTGACTTAATTGTCATCAAACTTGGCCAGGATGCTTGTCTAAGACATTGCTTGGATGCGGTTGATATTGCACCTACGAATATCGAGCTGACCTCACTGCAGGGTCAGGGATAAGATCGATGTTCAAAAGTTATAAAATGGTCGCAGATCGAGTTGCCCGCAAATTCAGAGCCAGCTCTGAAATTGATATTTGACATTTACTAAAACAAGAGGGCCATGATGGCCCTGGATCGTACCCCTGACCCTGCAGTGAGGTCAGCTCGATATTCGTACGTGTGATATCCTTTTAATACCGATCACAGAGCTGACTTGAGATTTGATGTTAGCAAAAGTGACACATACTCTGAGCCAGCTCTGAGTTAAATTCCAGCACATTTATTCGCCCTTTTAAAAAATCTATCTCAGAGTTTGAACCTCAAAGCAAGCTGCAAATTAATTACTTATGATAAAACAAAGGCGTCAGAGCCAAGTTAAAGTGTAAAGGTAACTAGATTTGAAACTTTGATGTACGATCTTACTTTTTGGAAATTAGTTAAGCCCGAAACATAACTACAAATTTTATCGAAAGTTAAGCTATTTGGACCATTTTGCTACAACTGTAGTGAAAAAAGGGAATTACTTATCCTTTAGCTAATGAAATGAAATATTCTTATATTTCAGGATGAAGATGATGAATAGTGTTACGGTATTGATTTCTCTTGGTAAGTTGCACATAACATGAAAATAAGAAAACACAACAACAACAAAAATACTAAAACGAATACTGAATGCATACAAATACTCATAAATATTATATAAATAAATTTATTAAAATTTTGATTGAATAAAACATTAGTTATACACTGTTTGATGTTTTGTGACAGCGTTAACCTTAAATTTGATGAAACATGACTGTAAAGACTCCTTACTTTGATGCGATCCTTCGCATTCTTTAGATTAAGAAAAGAGGAAATTGGTAACCAATGGTATAAGGGTGTTTAATATTTAGTCGGTGACATTAGATTATAATGATGTTTTTTTTTGTTCAACGGAACATTTTGAAAATGTTAAAAAAATGTGGCGAATTAAACATCGTGTCATCTTTTTCAATACGTTTAAAATTGGAATCACCCATCAATCTGGCGTAGGAGGTCGCAAGCTGTCGGTTCAGGATTTATTTAGTTAATTTAGAAATTAAGCCCTTGCAAACTTGTACGAGTTCTAGGGAAATATCAAGCATTGTATCTATGTTAAATACGAAGTTTATGATAACGAATGGTAAACGTTTCGAAAACGGACGGTATACACTCGAAAGGTAACTGGTATGCAAGTACATACAAATTGTAACCAATCTACATGTCATTAAGATGTGTCAAGTTGGCCGCTTAGCGGCCCAGTGACCTTTCGGAATGAAACTGGTGGCCTAACGGCCCAGCGGCGTAGAGTTGACGGCCTAGCGGCATAACGACCTGGCGACGTGAAGTTAGCGGCCCAGTGGCCTGGTGGCGTGATGTTGGCGACCTAGCGGCCCTTGCGGCCAAAAAATTCGATGTTGTACATTAAAAACGGCAATTAATGATGTTCTAACGAAAATTCTTGTTATTTGAAGCTAGTTAAAGGGCATATGTACAGAAAAAATCTTTTTGTGAAAACTTTTTTATTATTTCATTTTCGTGATGTCCAGCGGCCTGGCGGCCTAAGATTTTAATATTGCAGAATGTTATAAAACCAATAGAAACGGCATTGAATGAAGTTTCAAAGACATTTCTTGTTATTTGAAGTTATTTTAAGAAAACAGAAAAAATTGCTTTGAGAAAACTTTTTTATTAAATCATTTTTGTGAAGTTGGCGCAGCCCAGCGACCTAGCGGCTCAGCGACATAACAGCCTAAAATTTTAATGATGTAGAAGTTTGTCAAAGACATTAAAACCAGTCTTAATTAAGTTTTAAAGACATATCTTATCATTTAAAAGATACATAAGAGAAAAAAATCATATTCAGAAAGTTTTTGTTTCCATGCGAACTTGAAATTTTATAAAACAATAAAATGGTGCTAATAAGGTTCTTAAGACTTTTCTTGATCTGTATATAAAAAGAAAAAAAATCACTTTGCAAGAACTTTTTAGATTTTAGCATTTTTTGTGAAGTTGGCAACCCAGCAGCCTAGCGGCATAAAATTTCAATGTTGCAGAAGTTTGTCAAAGAAATTAAAACGGCTCTTAATCAAGTTTTAAAGACATATATTATCATTTAAAAGTTAGATGAAGGAAAATAAAATAATATTCAGGAAGTTCAGTTGTTTTCCGGCGCCTAGAGGCCGGAAATTTGTACTGTCGTAGAAATTTTATAAAAAAAACATAAAACGGTGCTTAATAAAGTTCTTATGACTATTCTTGATATTAAAAAAGTAAATAAAAAGGCTTAAAAAAGATAATAATATTATTCTAGTTGGGAATATAAATGAAGATCAACTTGTGGATTTCTTTTATATGCTTCAGCCCATTTAAGACCAGAAAGATTATTTGATTTAGAATTTCTTCTCCCAGAAACAATTTGGCTCAAAATAGAGACAAAAGTAAATCATATCTAGTATGTATTGTATATAGACCCCCTCACTACAGGGTAGATTTTTGGGAAGAACTAAACATATGCATTGAGAAGGCGTCAGAAATAGATAATACTATTATTCTAGTTGGGGATATGAAGATCAACTTAATTCAAACAATAGAAAATTTAAGGATATTCTTTATCTTAACATCATGTCAAATAAAATAACTCAGCCAACTTGTTATCATTCAAGTATTTTAATTGAGCCATTGCCATTTTTGATAATAAGTTACTGCATGACTCTGGAGTTTTTAAAACCAACAATATTTAAAGTGACCATTATGCTACATATGCTTATATTAAAATTATCTTCAAATTTGATGCCCCCTTTAAACGTCATGTGTGGAATATAAAAAGCTGATTTTAATAAACTGAATACTTGTTTACAAACAACATATTGGTCTTTTCTACATGATAACTTTTTCAATAGTACAGAGTATTCACTACATGATCTAAAAGTCACAAACCCATCTCAATATTGGAAACTTATAAAAATGCTTATTAAAGATAATTCTACAAAATGTGACAAAATACAACCCCTTAAAAGTGAAGACAACAGTTATTCCGTTTCTAAAGATTTAAATTTAGATTTAAACATGAATGTTTGTCACTTAGTTTGGTTACAATAATTAATTGAAACAGATCATCTTTCAAATTTATTTATTTATTATATTACATAAACATACAATTCTAAAAAAATAACATTAGCCTGCATTTTATTTATGTCAGATAAAAACAATAAATATAATACAATAATTAAACTAAAATATACATTTTTTATGGTATTAATATGACACAATCAACTTTGATGAAACATTATATTTAATTTGTTATTCGCATTTAATAAAGAGATTCTGAGGAATTATTCAAGTTACAAATTTGATTTTATGAATTATTCAAATGATTAATATTGATTAAAAGTGAAGACAACATTTATTCAGTTTCTAATGAAGAAACTTTGAATAATTATTTTGTTTCAATTTCTACAATTGATTATAATAATTCAAACCTTCCAAATTTTTCTTCAAATACTGAGTCTTCATCGTCAAAATTCAAATCGCAGAACATGAAATCTCTGAAATTCTCTTACATTTAGTTACAAAAAGCTAATGGTCAAGATGAAATTAGCCACCACATGTTAAAAGAAACCTCAAAAACAATATGTCGCCCTTGCTATTATTTTTAATAAGACTTAGTGTCAGACTACAAAAAGGTTCCTTTCCCTATTGCTTAAAATTAGCTGATGTGATGCCACTATTTAAATCAAAGCACAGAAGATTCTGAATTTGTTTGGATCTCAGAATACCAGGCACGTCAAGGTTAATTACATGTCTTTTATTTGTTAATTACTTATTTAATGCTTTTAAAACACATACAGTAAAGGTAAGACTTATATTATGAACTAAAAATGGGGCCGATTTAGTAAAGGGTCGAAATGTCCAGGGCCGAAACGTCTCTGCTTCAAAGTATTCACTTTATTACGTCACGCTTAATTTATGACTGCGGTTTCATGACATACTTTGAAAAAGCGAAGGTGACTATGAGTTGAATTTGTATCGACTTTTGTTCTTCTATGGAAAAAAAACAACAGAATTTTTAAGAAATACAGCGTTTTCATTGGATGACAAATAAAGCTGGATACTAAAACAAACTACTAGTGTTTGTTGCAAATGGATTCTACGATCATATTATATTCAACAAAGATTCAAAACGAGTGTTTCACCATTACCGCAATATTATTCAGGCAGCTGAGCATAACATGATTCATGGCATGAACCAGTATGGTGTGGCTTAATATATAAATAAATAAATATCTGTTAACCCACTAAATATTAGCACGTTTTATATATAACTGTCACAAACTTGTTGCAGTTTGTTGCAACTTTATATAGCCAACGATCTTAGATAAGCATCGTTTACGTCAACGTCTACAAGATAATGGTTACGAATACTTTTATTCACATTATCTCAATGAGAATGATGTTCCTGGAGCTAAACTTGTTTAAAGCATGATTGAAAGCATTCTAATGAACAACTACAACGATGGATATATTGTAGTGATTAGAAAACATCTGGAAATGTTACAAAGATGATCTGGTGAAACAGATTCTCCTTTCAGGGAAATACTTTCCCTGTCAATTTTAGAAAAATACCGGCACTTGGCAATTTAATTATTATTGAACTTCAATATTTTGTATATTTATCCAACATTTGAAATGGTGAAATGATATTGTATGATTTTAAGGATGAAAGTATATACCCGATTTGCATCTATTTCCGTGGAACTAAGCGTAAAAACAAATAAATATAATACAAAAGTCACTTACATTTATTTTCTTTTTTTGTTGAATGCATCCATCAATCTTTCATTAAAGGAGCAGCATAAATGATATACATCAAATGTTTACTGTTTTTATTATTATCGGCATTATTTAGGTCACATGATAGCCACCATTACTGAAGGGAAGTAAATCTGGTTCCGCGTTATAAAAGTCTATACAATACTGTCTGAATAAATTTAATGGTATCAAAACACTAACTGTTCAAAATGTTAAACAAGTTCAGCCACCACACATTTAAACAAAACTTCTGTAAAACATCAAAAATAACATGTTCATTTACACAAACATTCATACACTACTGTTATTTTTTTGTTTTTATTACTCTTCTTTTGCACAATGGGAGCATCTAAAGATAGTTGCGCTCCTAAGCACGTTCACCTCAGTGCACAATTTCAAGTGCACCCAGTGAGGACAATAATCACACTTTCCCTATTTTACAAAAACAATACTTGTGCATCCTTTTAAATCAGCTGGGGACCATAAATTGCATACACAGCACTTGTCTTCATCTGAATCACCAATGTCACTGTCACTGCTTTCAGAGATGGATGGTGTAGTGAGACAGATTGGTCCTCCTGATTTAGATATACCAGATGTACTTGGCTTTGCATGATTTACAGGTGATTTGGAAGTATTGACTTTCCTTTGTTTGGCACAGTTTTCTTGGTTGTTAATACATTTCGTGGCTGGCTTGCTTGTACATGTATTTGATTTGACTTTATTTTCAAGAATAGCAGTATTTTTACTATTGAACAAATTGCCACATACATAGG